CATCTGGCCTTGTTTGTTCCTGTACCAGAGACAAAACATTGGTTTCGCTGATTAACGGTTGAAAGACTCCAGCAATAGCCAGGCTTGCCTTTGCGCTGGGAAACGGGCAATATTTGTTTGTGGGAACGTGGCTTTTATGAAAACAGACTGTTTGGTGGTGTTGGACTTAGGAGACACATGGCTTGTCGCACAGAAGTAGTGTTTTGTTTCATTATTGTTGTTTTGAGTGTCTAGGGACAGTCTCCCTATATAGCCATGGCTTGCTCTGTATATCAAGGTGCCCTCAAACTCCTGCCTCTGCCTCGTAAGTGCTGGGTTTTAGGACTATGCTACCAAGCCCAGCAAAGAGCAAAGCAATGCTGAAAGATACAGATGCCTCCCACTTGACAGACAATTTTATGTGACTTTATTTTTAAATTTAATTTTTAAGGGCTGAGTGCAGTGGCACACACCTTTAGCCTTTAATCCCAACACTCAGGGAGGCAGAGGCAGACAGATCTCTATTGAATTCAAGGCCAGCCTGGTCTACAGAGTGAGTTCCAGGACAGCCAGGGTTATACAGAGAAACCATGTCTTGAAAAAAAAACGTAAAGATTTTATTTTTAAATTATGTGTATGTTTTGAGTGTAATATTATGAGTGTAATGCTTAAGGAGGTCAAAAGAGGGCATCAGATCCCCTGGAACTGGAATTGTAGGCATTCGTAAACCACCTTATCAAGGTGTTGGGACCCTAACCCCAGTCATCTGGTTTTTGAAAGCAAAATATACTTTTTAAAAATTTTTTTATTTTTATTTTTTATATTAATTACAGTTTATTCACTTTTATCCCAGCTGTAGCCCCTTCCCTCATTCCCTTCCAACCCCACCCTCCCTCCCTCATCTCCTCCCATTCCCCTCTCCAAGTCCACTGATGGGGCAGTCCTCCTCCCCAAGATATACTCCCCAAGATATACCCCACCTCTATAGTTCCTTAATTTTAGTTTTTGAGATGAGATCTTGCTATGTAGCCCAGGCTATCCTCCAACTCTCAATCCTCCTATCTCAGCCTTCTGAGTGGCTGAGATTTTACAGGTGAGCCACCACATCCAACTTACATGATTTTTTAAGAAAGCTTTAGCCAGTGTTCTAGCTTCTGTTGCTGTGACAGTAGAGCCCTTAAAAGAAGCAATTTAAGTGAGAATGAGTTTATTTTCGCTTGCAACTCCAGGTTATAAATCATTGCTCTTGGAAAACCAAAGTAGCAGGAACTTGAAGCATTTGATGACATCACAGGCACGGTCAAGTTTTCCAAGACAGGATTTCTCCTATAGCCTTGGCTGTCCCGGAATTCGCACTGTAGGCCAGGCTGGCCTCCAACTCACAGAGCTCCACCTGCCTCTGCATCCCTGACTCTGTATCCCAAGCGCCGGGATTAAAGATGTGTGCCACCACTGTCCGGCTGAGATAAACGAATGTGTGCATGCTCAATTACTTGCTTTTGCTCAGTTCAATTTCTCTACTTTTACATAGTGCAGGACAGTCTGCCTAGGGAACGGTGCTGCCTCCGATGTGCTGGGTTGTCTATCAGTTAACTGAACACAGCCTTGCACAGGTGTGCCTACAGCCTGACTCAATGTGGACAGTTCTTCATTGACTCTTCTCAGGTGATTCCAGGTTGTGTCAAATTGACAACTAAAGCTAACCAGAGACTGAAGACAGTTTGGGGTTAAAGCAGTCATTGCTCTTCCAGAGGATCTGGGTTCAATTCCCAGCATTCACATGGCATCTCACAACTGTAACTCTAGCCTCAGGGGACCCAAGACCCTCTTCTGGCCTCTGTGGGCAATGTGCACACACAGTGCACAGACATACCTATGAGTAAAGCACCCAGACACATAAAATATTTGAAAACACCAAGGCAACCATGACAGCCAGCTCCTGTCCTTGGTGAACTGTAGAGGACACAGGGCTGAATCTTCTTTCCCTGTTACTGCCTACCTGGAAGCTTGGCCCATTTGTACAACCCAGAAAGCAGCAGAGCTGGGTCGTTCTGCTGGCGTGGTCTGTCTAGCCAGTAAGGACCATGGAGAGATTGAGGAGCAGTGCAGAGACTCTGTGGGCTGGAGCTCAGCTGTTTTAGTGCTCGGGGTTTCAGGTTACATCTTCAGCATGAAACCAACCAGGGTGGGAGGTGCTCACCTGTCGTCCCAGCGCTTGAGGTGTGGGTGCAGGTAGATTAAAGGTCAAGATTATCTTCAGCTAGCCAGCAGGTTTGAGACCAGTCTGGAATCCATGGAATTCTTAAAACAAAATAAAACAAAACAACAAACAAACAAACCCGCTGACCGTGGAATTGTGGACTCTTCCACCCAGCTGCCTCAGGCAGTGTGCTCACACTGACAGTGATGAGTTCCCCACACTGTCTTCTTTCATATATGGTGTATAACAAATCTAGGCTCCCAGTCTGCCTGATGCTGGGCATGGTGAATATACCTATCATCCCAGCGCTTGAGAGGGGAGGTCAACACCAGTCTGGGATGCATGACCCGATGAGGCCAGCCTGGTCTACATAATAATACCCTGCCTCAACTTCTTCCTGTGTCAAAAAATGGGCACACAAAAACATATGTCTTCTAAGTTTGTTAGGGAAATTTCAAAACACTAAGTGTATTCTTGTCGTAGCAGATATTCAAAATGATCATTAGACCATTGTTACTATTATTTGTAATAAAATAACAATAATAATATTATTATTAATGTATGATTATTTAAAAAAACATTTAGTAGAAAGGTAAACAGAGGCTAGAGAGATGATTCAGCAGTTAGGAGCACTGGCTGTTATTCCAGAGGGCCCAGATTCAATTTTCACCATCGCATGGTAACTCTCAAAGGTCTGTAACTCTAGTTCCAAGAAACAAGGCACCCTCTTCTGGCCTCCACAGGCATTTATGAAAATGGTGCACAAGCTGGGTGTGGTGGTGTGGTGGCTCACGCACTTGATCCAGTACTCAGGAGCAAAGGCAGGTGGATCACTGTGAGTTCAAGTCCATCCTGGTCTACAAGTCCATGACAAAGCCAGAGCTACAGAGAAACCCAGTCTTTGGGTGGGAGGAAGTGGTGCGCAAACATTTAAACACCCATGTGCATAAATAAATAAATAAATAAATAAATAAATAAATATGAGCCAGGCATGGTGGCACACGCCTTTAATCCCAGCACTCAGAGAGGCAGAGTCAGGCAGATCTCTGTAAGTTCAAGGCCAGCTTGTTCTACAAAGTGGGTTCCAGGACATCCAGGGCTACACACAAAGAAACCCTGTCTTACACCCCCCCCCCCCCACTAATATTAAGGTGAAAATTGCCTTCTGGGCCATACATGGTGGCACACACTGTTAATCCTAGCATTTGGGAGGTAGAGGCAGGTGGATGTGAGTTTGAGGGATGCCTGCTCTACTTAATCAGTTACAGGCCAGCCAAGGCTGCACAGTGAAACCCTGTCTCAAAACTAAATAAAAAGTAAATGTACAAATAAAATGCTGCCTTCTGAGCCAATTGCTTCTCTCGTGTGCTGGAGGTCACATGTAGGCAATAGGCCATTGTGGCACCATAGGTCACCGAGAACTCTATCAGTACCTCTATTCTTTATGCACTCATGAGTCTTAAAAAGTTATTTATTTTTATTTTTTATGTGCATGTTTTTCCTGATGTATGTCTGTACATGTGCATACATGGCGCCCTTAAAGTCCAGTTGTAGAGTCCCAGGTGGTTGTGAACTGCCACGTGGGTGCTGGGACCTGAACCTGGGTCCTCTGTAAGAACACGAAATGCTCTTAACCCCTGAGCCATTGCTCCAGCCCCAGGAATCCTTTGTAAAGGGTTATTTTATTTTAAATTTTATATATACATGTGCATCTAAATATGAGTGTGTACGTGTGAGTTCAGGTACCCATGCAGGCTAGAAGAGGGTGTCAGATGCTTTGTAGCTGGAGTGCTGGGAACTGAATTTGAGTCCTCTGCAAGTGTGACCCACTCAGGAGTTTTTCTAAATGCATCTTGGATGATTCTACTGTCCCAAGTCCTCAGCCCCTCCGCCACCGCCATAGAAAGCCTGTCCTTCGGTGTGGCACACTGGACCCTGAAGGATGTGAGTTGGGCTGCCTCTTTGCCCTATTTCCCTTGTCATCTCATCTCCACCTCCTTGTAACCTAGCAGTACTGACCTCAGAGACATCAGCCCTCCCCTGTCATCATCCTCCTTGCTTCTGGCCTATGTTCAGTCACTGCAGCAGCCCCTACAAAGTCTTGAAAATCAAACTTGAGGGCTGACCACCCACCTACCCAATCCCACATATCTTTTCTGCTGGACTGAAGCAGTCCCTTGTAGATGGACAGGAGGCTCAGAGGCCCAGAAAGCTCACACAGAAACTTACTATGTCAGAGACTTATGAATGTGAGCCTCTCTCCTCCCACATTCATGAGGTTTGAATACTTGTCTCAGCTGCCGTCACTATTTTGAAAAGCCACGGAAACTTCGGGAAAAAGTGGGTCTTTGGGGTGGGCCATGAGGTTCTCTACCCTAGTCCCACTTGTGTCTGCTTTCTTCTGCCTCTTGGAGGAACAGTGTGGCCAGCTGTCTCATCTCCTGTGACCGAGCCTTCCACACCGAGATGGACTGTGTCCTTTATTAAACTTCCAGCTGAACTGCCCTTTCTCCTTAAGTTGTGTCTTGTCAGGTACTGGGTCACAGGAGCAAAGCAGGGACTGTGGAAAGCCACAGCAGCTCCCTTGCTTAGGGAGAGGACACCAGCGGACCATCAGTGACACCATCACCCATGCTTGCGTGGGCTTTTACGGGATGCTGCTGTGTGAATCCCCCACTCGCCTCTAAGTAACCGGTAAGTTCACCGGTTCACCAGGCTGGACTTGGGGGATGGTTACTTAACCTGCCATTGCAGGTTGGGGTGGATAGGCATGACTGAGAATTAATGCTGCCCCTGGAAAAAGCCCACAGTCACTCTGATATTTCCATTATAAACATTTTCTTTTAATTTAAGAATACTGATTAACACAGGAAACATTTAATTCATGGAACTGTGCACATGGTGACCAGTTACACTGTGACATGTTAGTCTCCTCATCACTTGTTGGCACTGTTGACAATCACTGTAAACAAGATCACTTGGTTTGCATGAGTCCGAGATGCTGCTGTGGTTTCCCACAGCGAGCTGATACATGTACGTATAGGTACAGAGCTATTAGTACTTTAATGTGCACACTTTTGCATGGTTACTGAGCATCAGTAACAATCATAAAAAACCACCCATTTATAATAAAAAGGAAGGATATGCTAAGACTTGATAGTACTGGGCCTTGTTTTCTGCAAAACTGACAAGACTGGCTAGAGACGTTTACTAAAGTCTACTGCACTAATGCATGATGGGTGTTCATCCAGACTGCACAGACATGCTTGCTTGTGGGTTCTGCCCACAATCTTGAGTTTTATGGAAAATCCTTTTCCTTGGAATTCTTCCCGTTAGCTCCCATACTTCCAAAGAGGCCATCTCAGAAACACACCGTGCCCCGGTTAAGAACATGTGGATAAACGGCTTAAATTTTGTTTGTCTAAAATGAGAGGAGCTGTCCCCAGGCAAGGAGTGGACAATACATCTGGAGATGGCTTTCTAGAAACAATTTCATCCTTCTGTCTACATGCCCTGTGGCAGGAAAATGAAGCATCAGCTGCTCCCTCCACTAAAGAGAGCGATTCCTGCTTGTGTCCTGGCTTAAAACCCTTTGAACTCCAAGGACCTGCCCGAGTGTCGTCCACACATGATGCTGGGTTCTTAGGAGGCAGCATGCTTAAACCAATATGATGAGTTAGGGTTTGGCCTGCGTGTTCCAAGTTTGTTAAGACCTTGAACCTGTGTGGGGTCCAGCACCCCAGGGAAAGGGCTGAGGAATGAACAAAGATGTCTCCGCCTTCCCCCTTCTTCACTCTTCCTTTCCTTTTCTGCTTGACTAACTTCATTCATTCTGGAGAATTCTGCTCAGGCATCCTTTCCCCTTGAAGGCTCCTTGGACTTACTAATGTTCAGAAACCCTTGCTGGTGCACTTCCCATTCTGACTTTAACATTAAGGGTCTGTGGTTCCCAAGAGAATGGGAGTCCCTGGGAGCAGGGACTTTATCTGTGGAACTTCGTGTTCCTGGTGCTTAGCACAGGATCTGGAACAATACAAAATCTCATGAAAGTGTGATGAGTGAGTGAATAAATGATTGATATGGAAATAAACATACAGGTGAATGAAAGCTTACATGGAGGCAGGGAGGCAGACCCCATTACTTACATGGTTACTGAAATGACCTTAAACACGGCTATGAAGAAGTGGTTGAATTTCAGACTGTGGGGCTATGACATGACTGGTATTCATCGATTTGCTGTTTCTGTTAACCATGTCAGCCAGTGCCTTTTATTTTCAAGGCAAGTAAGTTGATGGCCATGACTAAGGAAGCATGAAAGCTAGATCTTTGGATGATTCATTATTAAAAGAGCAAAGGGCTCAATTGGGAACCCTGGTATACCCACCTCCCAGACAGTTAATGAGGGCACCAGGATGGAAAGAGGCTTCTGTAACAAACCAGCCCCCTGCACTCTACATGTTAAACACTGCCTCTCTGAAGGGTGTGTGTGTGTGTGTGTGTGTGTTGGTGGGGGGTGCTCTACTTAGGAACCTCTCAGGTCAAGCCAGTTCTAAGAACATCTCACCGGCATAAGCACTAACTGCTGGCCTCTGGGCACGATCCATACTCAGGAAAGCCCAGGCTCTGTGGGGCCAGGCAAGTCCAAGAAAACCATCATGAACCAGCAAGCTGCTTTTCACATGTGGTGTCCGTATGCCTTTATAATTAAGACATTGCACTTAACAGGAAGTCTAGCGTTGGCCCTCTGGGATGGAATAGCTGTGCTCAGGAGTGGAGGGAATGAGTGGATGAGTGAAAGTTGGACTATGAAGTTCCCAGGATGAAGGGTCACAAGTCAGAGGCCCTGGAGGTGGAATCAGGGGCTCTGCTGCCCATGCTCCTCAGTGTAGGCTCCAGAGGCAACTTCAGGTTCCACATGACCCCTGGATGCTCTGGATATAGTTTCCTTCCCTTGAATCAAGACAGACACTGGGTGGAGAATGTTGACTAAGAACTACCACTGGTAACACTCAGATCCTCTAGGAGCATAGGTCAGTCAAGGACAGAATTCACAAGCCAGGGACATCACCAAGGGCACAGGGCTGAGGGGATCTTGGTGTTTAGGATATCAGAAGCCCCTCCATTCCCCCAAACACAGTCTGTGTCTCCACACTTTGTCATCTTCCTCTCAGCCATCTGGACTCCAAGTAAGTCACAAGTGGGATGTGTAGCTGGGGATTTGGTAAGAAGTGACGAGAGTTTGTTTGTGAAGGACAATAGGATGCCAGCATCTCTGATCCCCAGACAGGGTACTTGAGATGGACAGAGACACAAGGATCCCACCCACCCACCTCAGAGCAGGTGTAATACCCTTTGAGTTGCTTCTAAGAAACGGCTTGGTCCAGGGTTGGCAGAAATATAGCCTTTCCTAAGACAGTGTCCAAGGCTTACACAGAACTGGCCTTTAACCGATGGGCACCATGAGTTTTGCAGGGAGGAGACCAAACCCAGGTCCTCCCCACCCAGTCCTCCACAACCACTGACCAATGAGCCTGGCCCACAAATGACCCTTCTGTTTATGCATTCGCCTCTGATAAACGTTTAAGTGAAATATGAATTAGGCAAACTAATCAAGTTGACACCGCTGAGACTGGGCTTTCTCTGAATATCATGGAAACGGCTTCTTTACTTGAAGTCTGCTAAGATGCCACTGAAAATATTGAGGAACAGGTGAGCGTGGTGATCCCTGAAGACCAGTGTAGGGCGGAAACGAATGGATTTATCACCGCAGCCCCCCAATACCACACCTGGAAGAAGAGCAGGAGTAGATTAGAAGTGTGAGTTTCTACGGACACATTTTTGGAGACTTGGTGGCCACTGTTATTCACCCTTGGCCACAGCTCTCTCACACAGGCCCCTCTGACCTTCCTCCACTCACTATTTACCTCTCCATCCTTCCCCTTCTCTCTTCCCTCATCCACCCTCTTCTTCTTTCCTTCCCTCCTAAATTTTGGTTTTTGTTCTTTTTAAAAATAATTTATTTTTATTTTATGTACAGTGGTGTTTTGCCTGTATGTGTGAGGGAGTCGGATCTCCTGGAACAGGGGTTACAGACAGTTCTGAGCAGCAATGTGGGTCCTGGGAATTGAACCTGGGCCCTCTGGAAGAGAATTCCAGTGCTCTTAACTGCTGAGCCATCTCTCCAGCCCCTAATTTTAATTTTTGTTTGTTTGTTTGTATGTTTGTTTGAGACAGGGTCTCACTGTGTAGCCTGGCTGTGCTAGAACTTGCTATGTGGTCCAGGCTGGTCCTAAATTCACAGAGACCTGCTTGCATGGTTATTAAAGGCATGGGCCACCAAGCCTAGCCCTCCTAATTTTAAACACCTTTTGTCCTACTATTACTGGGTTGGATAGTAGAGAAATCTCAAGGTAAAAGTTCTTGCTTGCCAGAAGCTCATGGTGCAGCAGGGGAAGAAAACAGGTAAATAAATACACAAGCACCTGCAGAGGGGGTGGCACACTGCTGAAGAAGGACGGACTCTGCTGAGTTTCACACGGAGCGTCGTCATCTGTACCGGGTATGCTTGCCTGGCTTGCTCACTGTCTGTGGGACTCTTTAAAACGGAGGCTAAGCCCGGCATGGTGGGCACATGTCTGTAATCCCAGCCTTTGCGAGGTGGAGGCAGAAGTTCCAAGTTCTAGGCCTAGGCTATACAATGAGGCCCTATCTTAATACATAAATAAATACAAATTTAAAAGCCAGGTTTAGTGGACCACACCTATTATCCTAGCATCTTGAGAAGGAGGACTGCAAGTCCAAGGCCAGTCTCCGCTATAGGCTGAGTTCAAGGTGACACTGGCCAGGTTAGTGGGACTCTTGTCTCCATATTAAAAGGGGAGGGAGGATGAGGTCGGTCAACAATCAAAACACGTACCCTGAAAGCCAAATGGCCTGAATTCAACCCTGGGACCCACATAAAGGTATGAAAGAATGACGCCATGATGTTGTCTTCTGACCTCTACATATTCACCATGGCACAGACACATATCATACACATACATATATCACAGATATAATAAAAATTTTAAAGGGAAAATGGGTGGTGGGCGGGCTGTAGTGGTAGCTGAGGTAAGTGGTTACAGTACTTGTTATAATGTGTAAGGTTATAGGCTTGATCTTCAGCACTACAGTAAATCCAAACAACAAACAAAAAAACAAAATGAAGAACCCAAACCTGCTAATTGTCCCTGTCCTTTGGGGACTGCTGCAGGGACTCCATAAGAAGGCAGAAGAGGGGCTAGAGAGATGGCTCAGTGGTTAAGAGCACTGTCTGATTTTCCAAAGAACCCAGGTTCAATTCCCAGCACCCACATGGCAGCTCACAACTGTCTCCATTTCCAAGGGATGTGACTCCTTCACACTGATGCACATAAAATCGAGTAAATTATTTTACAAAGGGCAGAAGAAAGGGCCTGGGGTAGAGCTCACTGGTGGGCTTGCCTAGTATACACAGACACTTGGGTTGGCCCCTCCTACTAAAGTAAAAAATAAAAATAGAGACAAAAGAAGATACAAGAGAAAGATCTGTGTACATGACCCAGAGTGCTTACTTAGATCTCAGCCCAGTATCCTCCCACTTAAAACTCTCAGTGTTTTCCCACAGCCCTTTAGAAGACTCCAGAGCATGAGTCCCTCAGGCTAGCATGAGGTGGCCTGGTATCCTTTTCTTAACATCTCTCCTTCCATCTGTCTGCCTCAACTTCATCATCTTCCTCTTCCTCTTCTTTTTCTTCCTTGGTTTTTCAAAACAGGGTTTCTCTGTGTAGCCATGAACTCACTCTGTACATCAGCCTGGCTTGTAACTCACAGAGATCCACCTGCCTCTGCCTCCTGAATGCTGGGATTACAGTCGTGTTCCACCCCCCCCCCCTCACCTTTCCTAGTGCCATCCTGCCTCAGGCCATCATACATGGCCCTCCCTCTGCCCAAGGGACTCTTCCTTTCTCCACCTAGCCTGTCCTTGCTCATCCCTCATGCCTTCTGGCAAATACCAACACCTCAAGGAATCCTTCCTAGACATCCAGGGTCCCTCCCAGGCCCCGCTCTCCACTCTTTCCTTGTGCCCAGAATCGAGGCAGTGACTACTTGCCAAATGACGTGTTTGCTCTCTTCTTTCCTGATAAACCATGGCTTCTTCACTGTGGAGGTTTTCATCTTTAGTACAGCTTGGCTTTTCAGTGGATGCCAGCAGCATATGAGTGGATGAAGAAATCTCTCATGGGCTGGTAGGGTGTAACCCAGTGGTAGGGCTTGCCTAGCCTAGATGAGGCCCTTGGTTGGATCCTCAGCACTGAATAAGATGGGTGTGGTAGTATATGCCTGTAATCCCAACTGGGAAAGTAGAGGCATATACTGCCACACCCATCTTATTCAGTGCTGAGGATCAAACCCACGGCCAGGAGTTTAAAGTCATCCTCAATCAGCTACAGAGCAAGTTTGAAGCGAGCCTGGGATTCATGACATGCTGCCTCCAAAGTATAGGAAAAAGAAATAAAGTCAGATGATAAGTGAATCAATCCCACAGTAACTTTCCTTCTCTGAGAAAGACCGCTGAGTCTGTCTATCTTACGTGCCTCTGTTCCCCTACCCTGTACCTAGCAGAGCTTGGCACCACACCAAGTGGAGCCAGCACTGAGGAAATGATCCAGTTCTACATCTGCTCCCATCCCCCTTACCTTTGTTCCTGGCAATTAGAATGAGTTTATTCCGTATGGATTCATCTGGAGTGTCGAAGGAACAAAAGGTGCCTCGTCCTCTCACTCTGCTGATGAACTGGGGATACTGGGCCTGCAACAGGAGGGAAAGTTGAGATCAAAGCTGTTCCCTGGGCACCAGCTTGTGCTGCCATACCCACACAGCCTTTATGTGGATGCTGGCAATCTGAACCACCTCCCAGCCCTGTTGTTTAGGAAAGTCTCAGTCTACAGCCCTTGCTGGCCTAGAACTTGCTATGTGGACCGGAAGGATCTCCAACAGGCAATGACCTGCCTTTCTTTCTTTCAGTACTGAGCTCATCTGAGTGTGACACAGGCTTGGCACATTACTTATTTTCTATATTGATGACTTGTAGGAGTAATAGTCTTTTGGACATCAGATAGCTTAAGTAAAACATCATTAAAAGTAACTTCACCTATTCCAATTTGCTTTTCATCTGGCTTCTAAGATACTTAAAATTATACCTGGGAGCCAGCATTGTACCATACATTTGTAATCCCAGGACTTGGAGGCAGAGGCAGGAGAATGGCGAGTTCAAGGTCATCCTTGAAACATATCAAATTCAAGGCCAGTGGGCTACAGATACCTTGTGTCCATATAATAACATAAAAAATTACACACATGGCTTACAACAGACCCCCATTGGATAGTACAGAAGAGGGAATTATAGAGCATCATAGGGGAAATCTCCTCAAAGGAATGTTTGAATTTGATGTCAAGAGATAATGAGTCATTGGACTAGAGGAGGGACATAGGAAAAGAGGAGGGAGGAAAAGAGGGTGGGTTTGGGAGGGGGTGGGGAAGGGGTGCATAAACTGTAATTAATAAAATAAAAAAACTGTAATTAATAAAAATAAAAAATTAAAAAAAGAGATAATGAGGGACCAGCAATGGGGGGTTGAGATAGAAGAATGGGACTACCTGCCTTTGCACATGCAAAGGCCTGGGAACCCAGCTAGCTGAGAGTTGCTAGGCAGCAAGCACAGTAGCCAGGCTGACACAGGTACCTGGAGGTCCAGCAGCCCTGTGAGGAGGGTCTTCCCGGCATGGGCCACATTGTTGAGCAGGTCCTCCCGCTTGATGATGTTGATGACCTCAGCCAGCAGCAAGTTCTTAGATGGGTCCCCCAGCCAGGTATTGAAGATTCGGTAAGGCTGGAGAGAGACCAGATGGATCAGAAGGGCTCACATACCAGAACATTTCAGAGGGTCCTCTGCCCTAAGACACACCTTTTCCTGCCTATCTCTTTTTGATTCCACCTTTTTATTCTGCCTGTGCAGGTCTCTATGTGTGGCCTCCACTGCCCAGGAGACAAACTCAGTTACGTGACAGCCTTTAGCTGAGTGGTGATTGTTTGCTCTTTGAGGAATTCAATGAGTGATTCTAATTTGACTCTTGCTTCCCCTGCAAAAAATGTGTGTGTTAATAAACATTTTAACATATAAATAGTGTGAAAGGTCCTGGGGAGCCTTCCTGTTGTCTCTGCTAGAGGTGCATACTGGAGAGAGAAGCATTGTTCCCACCAACTGCATGCACCATGAGGTCTCATGGCAGCTGTTCTGGACCAGCCACTGGCTTCCTTGGCACCTCCAGGTTGAACTATAGTTGGTGTCCATGAAGAGCTGGAAGCTGGAAGCTTCTGGCAATAGCCACTCTGGCCCATCATTTCTCTGGTTTATGCTAAAGAGACATTTCCTTTCCCAACAGTGCTTCATGTGGCCAAGCCAGCCCTGCTGCAGGCAGCAGGACCCACAGACATTGAATCCCTGAAGCTGCGTCTCAGGCACCATGCAGGGAAGGTGACACTCAGAGTAGTTACAGGAATTCTCCTCCACCACATCCCACTGGCATTACAGTGCTGGGTCACGTTCAGGATGGGGGACTGCTCTTCTCTGGGGTCCATGGGAAGCTGCTGCATTGCCAGCCACTGTAAGTTTGCTGCCTTTGTTACTGGAGGTCTCTTCAGCTTCAGGCTTCCAGTCCTGCAGCTCCAACTGCAGGTTATCCAGGCAAATGTCCTCCGAAACAGTGTTGAGATGTTCCACCTGAAACCAGTGGGCACCACCTCCCCTGTGTAGTTCCCACAGCAGCTCATACAGATGCCTACTCTGGTCCCTTCTGTTCTTTGGTGAAGAAAGGCACCGTTTCCATCAGCATCTACTTGCATTTGAGACTTACAAGAGTAGCTCACCACCAGCAGGATGTCTTGCTCATTTATCAGTGTGTATTTGATCGTCCCAGCCTCCTTAGCAGAGCTGCATGAAGCCCAATGTATCAATGGTGCTTCTCCCTTGGGAAGTGCCTAGCCTAACGGGGTGCTTTGGGGATAGCCAGCCAGCCAAATTAGTAAGCTTCAGCTCTAAAGAAAAGCCCTGTCTCAAGAAAGAAGGTGGACAGCTCGTGAGGAACAGCACTATTCCTCAGCCAGGCTGACCCCAGGGAGATAACAGTTGACCTGGCTTGAGCCACCTTAAACTGAACCCCACCCCTTTTGTATATGTGTACGTATGCATGTGTGTGTTCATGTGGGTATACATGCATATTTGTGCACATGTGTGGAGCCAGAGGTTAACCTCGCTGAGGAACAATGTGTTCCTCAGGAGATACCCTCCTTATTTGTTTATTTTAAGCTATCTATCTATGTATCTATCTATCTATGTATCTATCTATCTATGTATCTATGTATCTATCTATCTATGTATCTATGTATCTATCTATCTATGTATCTATGTATCTATCTATCTATCTATCTATCTATCTATCTATCTATCTATCATCTGTTTTTCTGAGACAGGGCTTCTCTGTGCAGCCTTGGCTGTCCTGGAACTCACTCTATAGACGAGGCTGGCCTCAAACTCACAGAGATTTGCCTGCCTCTGCCTCCCTGAGTGCTGGGGTTAAAGGTGTGCGCAAGCACTCCCTGGCTCTGTCCACCTTATTTTTGAGACAGGGTCTTTCCTTAAAGCTAAGCTAAAGCTTACTGACTTCCTCTGGCTAGCTGCAAGCCAGAGGAAGCTTCCTGTTTCTGCCTTCGCAGCCATGCTGGGATTGCAAGCCTGCACCAGCAAGCCTGGCTTTTACCTGGGTGGTGGGGCTCAAACACATGTCCTCACACTTGCATGGCGATCAGTTCACTGACTGAGCCGTCTTCCTAGCACCTACACCTTTACATCTCACCAAAAGGAGAGAAACTGAACCAACAAGCATCTCCCAAGGCCTGGGAGGGTACACTGATTATGTTATTGAAGTCTTCCTATAAGAACCCTACATGTTGGCACTGTTGAGAGAGACTTGGCTGTCAAATACCCTGGGAAGTCCCTCAGGCTCAGAAATACCAAGGCTATTGTTCCTCAACTGCAGTCACACATGACTTAAAAAAGAGATGCAATGTTAAGTGATTTCATTGTGCAAACATCATAATGTTCTTAGACAAACTAAGATGTCATTACAGTGTCACTAGACAATATGACCTTAAGGGACCACTGTGACATGTGCACTCCATGTGGTTGAAACCTTGCCATGTGGTGCACAGCTGCCCTACAATCTTCATCCCGGATAGCAGAAAGCTGAGGTGCAGAAAAGCTAGGAGGTTCTTGCCATAGCAAATGTGGCTTGTTGTTGGTAGTATTGGCACTGTGCTGTGGTCTGCTAACTCTCAAATTTGATCTACTTTTCCCATCCATGAATCCTCACAGAGGCAATGTGGCCAACTAGCTAAGTGCTTCCTAGCCTCTCTTACAGTGAGGACTAGCAATATGCTCAGGTTTAAGTCACATGATAGAAATAAAAGAACTAGGGCTAAAGAGATGGCTCAGCAGTTAAGAGCATTTGTTGCTCCTGCAGAGGACTAGAGTCCTGCCAAACCTAGCACTCACACTGAGTGCCTGTAACCCTACCTCCAGCGTTCTGAAGATCTCTTCTGGCCTCTGCTGGTAGTAGCATGCATAGACACAGAAAATAAATAATAAAATAAATGGAAAGAAGGAAGGGAGGAAAGAAAAAACAAAGGGAAGAAGGAAGAAAGAACTATGTGGAATTTCTGTGAAGGCTGTTAAAGATAAAAAAGAGCATTTTTTCCCTTTTCTTTTTCCTGACCTCAGACGAGAATTGAGGTATAAAAGGAATTCCAGTAGCCATTTTGGATGATGGAGCAACCTTGAGGGTATAAACTACAGGTAGGAATGATGAAAAGATTTTGGACCCTTGAAGGCTGTGTGTGTGTGTGCGCACATTTATATGAGCATATGAAAATTTTAGTGTATATATATATATTGAGAATTTTGGTTTCTTTAAAAACCCAGTTATGTTATGTTATGTTATGTTATGTTATGTTATGTTATGTTATGTTATGTTAATATTTTTGTTTTAATTACAGATGTGTGATATGGGGCTGCTTCAGATTGTCCACAGCAGCAAACTATAACGTGGTTTGTTCTTTGGCAAAGGCATGATTTGTACCAGCTGCAGATAGTTTAATTCTGGGAAGTATTTATTTATTTATTTATTTATTTATTTATTCATTCATTCATTCATTTTGATACCAGGTTTCTCTGTGTGGCCTTGGTTTTCCTGGACTCACTTTTAATTCTGGAAACTCTTGAGAGGGTATAAAAGGGAGGGCTCCAAGAGGGCCTATGACAGCTGCTGCTCCCCGTGCTGATGTCTCCACTGCTGCTTGTTCCTGCTGTTGTTGGTTCCTGCTACTGCGTTTGCGAATGCTGGGTTACTAGATTGCTGCATTGTTGGATTGCTAGATTGCTGGATATTCCGATGAAGAAGTTTGGACTTGCCCCAGGGACCTGATGACTCTAATCAGCAGAAAGTAGTTTAAAGAGGTCTCAGTCCCTTCTCCCCTCTAACCTTCTTTCTCACCTATCTAGTGTTGAGGGTTGAAAGGGATTGCGTTGACCCTTCTCCACCCCATATCATTGGGTTCTGATATGAGAACCCAATAATATAGCTAAAACTTATGCCTACATGTTGCTAGGCATAATGGGAAACTTGGTTTCTAATGCTAGAGGGGAGAAGGCAGAGTTTGAAGGAATGTTTCAGGATGTCAGCAAAAAAGTTTATTGCAGCTCCTGTAGCTGGGTTCTCTCCCACTTTGCTCCTAGAGGAGATTTTCTCTTTCTTCTTCATCTTCCTATAAAAAAAAAAAAAAAAAAAAAAAAAAAAGGGCTTGGGAGACTGGGTGAGCAATTGGAAAAGTGCATATGGAGGGGTCTGAGAAACAAAATGGATGAAATAGGAAGGCCAGAAGGGTCACTTTATTCTCATTTTTCAGAGGTTTGCAAAGTTGGCTGTGTAACTAGAGAGGTTATGGGTGGAGATGAAAGCACTTAGGAAGTGAACAGTGCTTAAGAGAGGAGAACAAGAGGGTTCAGACCTGGTGACTGAAAGTGGGAGCTTCCCAAAGGATGAAAGAGGGAAGCAAACTAGGCTAGAAGGCAGACCCTGCCCTGTGTCACACACCTTTGGTTTCAAGTCCCTGCAACCCAGAGAGCTGGGAGGAGGAGGCCATGCAGGGTAACAGGTTTAAAGAGAAAAAAAACCCATGTCGAGAGAAAGGGTTAATTTCTGAGCCAAATGAACCACTAGAGGAGTGGCCTGGGATTATGAGGTCACCACCAGTTTTCCTAGTAATTGTACAGCACATGCCTGCTAACGGTGCTGACTGTCATGATGAGATAGCGTTTCATCCGAGGCTCTAAAAGAGAATGCTATTTCCTATGGAATGCATGCTCCTTTTGTTAAACACATATTAAGTAACTGGGCTACCCAAAATAGAATTATCTCCCAATACTGGAAGGGATTGGGGACATCTATGCTATAGGCTGGTCAGCAGTTACAGTGGTTAATGTGGTGGGGCCAAGAAGCTGCAAATATAGAACAACGAAATAGAGTAAGGGGACTAAATATTGCTAAAGATCAATTGTTTGGTGAAAGGTGATATTCTGACCTACAAGGACAAATTCGATTTGATGATGCTGTTACGGAACAATGCCACTTGGAAGTGTTAAGAGCTTGGAATAGCGTTGATGAGCCCGGGTAGATGCACCTCATTACTAAGATAATGCAAGGTTCAGGAGAAGCCTTCATAGACTTACTGTACAGACTGGTTTAAGCTGTAAACAAACCCGTATCAGACCTTGAT